ATTATATAAAACACCTACATAAAAAATTTAATTGTTTATATACAGTAGGTGTTTTATATGATTGCGAAGTATTTTTTGATAATATATCAGGAACAGTAGACCAACTTTACCAGCCTCGCCACCATTAGATAGCTCTAAATGTGCTCTACAACTTTACTTAGAACCCTGAAAACAGTTTACTTAGTAAGAAAAAAAAATTTAGATGTATTATCTCCACATTAGGGTCTATAATAAAATTTACATACAAATTTGCAGATTATCTCCAGGTGAGAGACAAATTAGCTATTAAAAAGAAAATAGCAAAAAAATATTTACAACTCTAACGTTTTAATCTTTTGCAATAAATTTTCGTCATTTATAAAGCCATATGGTAAGCATAGTAATCTTTTAAAATATCTTTGAGAAATTGGCTACACAATATTACTAATTCGTTTTGATGTAATATCAAATTAAACAAGGATTTTTGCTGGCAACAAATAGTGTGAGTACCTCAATTTCGAGTTAGAACCAATAACATAAGCGAATTCTTTCGCTATTCAGATTTATAACGTAGTTGTATAGAAAATTCTTTTTTGGCATAAAATTTATAATTTCTAAATTTTTTAAGAAAACAATTACACAAGATTGAAGATTTATAAAACTATAATTAATGTCAAACATTAATACTAACTTTTTTTATCGTAAATTGTTCCTTTTGAGCATCTTTGCATTAGCTGCCAATATGCATGGGTGTCTAAATTATTCCTCTTAATAAAAAATCATTTCGACATTTAGTCTGTCGAAATTAATTTTATTAATGACGAAATTAATTTTCATAGTTGTCGAAATTCTTAGTGAAATTATTTGAATTCTTTATGCCAAAATACATCAGATAGTATAGCTACTTTGTGGAATTCATATAAAAAACTAGCAATATCGAAATGTTTGTCGAAATTACCTTTTTTAAAAAATAATTTAGACACCCATGTATAGCTGCCAATTCTAAATGACGTAAAGCAAATTGTTCATTTTCACCACATCCAATCCCATTTTCGTAGCGTCATGCAAAAATAGTTTCGTCAGTTATCATTAGAGAGAAACCTGAATTATTGGATTAATTCTATTTATTGAAACTAAAGATTGAAAATGATGCCGGTTTCAAATAAATTATAATTATAGAATCTCACATAAGTGACCTCTTAATTAAATGTATTACTAATGAATTAATTATTGAGCAGAATCGCCTATACTGCAAGAGATTCGTCAAATGTTTAATTACAATCTCGCAAATAAATTTGAAAAGTATGATATTTTATATTACTGATAGCGTTAAAAGGGCATTTATAAAAATCCTTCGACTTATTAGTAATCTGACCTAAACTCATTTAATTCAATTTTTCTGCTTCTTAAGCAATAATTTTATTAACAAAGTCTGCCAAAACTTTTAATTTAAGAAATTACCACTTCAGAAGCTCCATATTCCCTTACATCATATGTTGCTCCTGGATTTTGGTTGTTGACTCCATTTTGCTTTGGAATTTGTCCTGATTGGGTTGTCATTGCGTGACGCCGATAATAAAAGATCAAAGCGATACATATCGGAAGAATTACAACTCCGAGTGAAACAGATGTACCTATCAATGCACCACCACACCCTGAAGACGTGGCATATTCGGACGTGGCATGTTCGGTATAGGTATAGTAGCGATAATATGTAGAAGTATAAGTATAAGTACTTGTATAGGTTGTAGTGCGGAAACTGCAAGATGGAGGATATGGAATAGGGCATGATTCTAAGCAAGGATCGCAAGTAGGAGAAACACCAGGAGAAACACCAGAAGAAACAGGAGGTTGTTTTGCTGGTAGTTGAGCTAAGCACAGCCTTATGATTGACAAATGGGTAATATTAAATAAGTATTTAAATTTAATATTATTAAAGTATTTAAATTTTTAAATATTTAATTAATATTAAATTTTATATTTATTAATACTTAAATTTTTGAATATTTATAAGTATTTTAAATAGATATTTGCAATTGCATTTCCAACATACCTTATATTTAATAAATATAAATGAAATATTATTAAAATATTTATTAAATATTTAAATATTTCATGAACACACGTCATTACTTAATAGTTATATACTGTTATATTTTAATAAATTTTTGTTGATTTCAAAATGTTAAAAAACCTAGGATGATGAATTGTAGTTTGTCAACATGATAGAAAAGTTTGACTTTTAATAGTTTTTTTTAGTAGTCTCATAATCGTTGTTTTTGTTTTGATAATTTTTTGTACTGGTCGCACGCAAGATTATAATCTGTGCTCGGTTATGCATGTTGCCGATCATTATGTAAAATTCTTTAAAGTTCATCAATGTTAGGGTTGGCGTTTCGTATAAAGTTAAAAGCTAAGTGGTTATATAGTAAAATCGCACAAGGAAAACTTTTTG